TCGAACACTGTAATAAATCATCTTTAATGATTTATATATGATTTAACAGTGTGAGAACGGCTACCTTGATTTATGTTATATGCACCTATTTGTTTCTAGCCGTACCTATTGTGTAATAGAGTGTATCTGGTGGTATTTGAATCTGTTCAACCATGAAGCCTCCGTGGTCTAGTGGTTATGACACTCGCCTTGACAGCGAGTCCCGCCAGAGGCATTTTATTACACAATTTCTTTATTCATTTATTTACAGGACTACATTCGTTGAGAGCTATGCTACACGGTGTATTTATTAAGTCCTTTATTCGAACACTGTATTTACCTTTCTTTGATGATTTATATATATATATATATATATATATATATACGTATATGTTATATATATATATATCATATATATATATGTATATATATCATATGATTATATATATGATAGTTAATACGATGTAAAATATAAAATATGGTGCGACGTAGGCCTATGTTTAGACTGGGTTCCAGTCCCTAATCTTTGTTTTAATCAGTTGAAATGCTTAATAAATCGATTTTGGCACAAATGGCGTTCCATATTACCTAATTGCATGGCGTTCCATAGTATACTTTTTCTGAGATTAATTGTCATCAAAAAAGTTTCTCAACATAAACTGACGATAGTGGCGCTTTCCGAAATTCGCTAATACTACGAAAAATCCATAAATTAGAGAATTGTGGCAAGTTCCACATAGATAATCAAAAATAGATTTGTAACACAGAATAAATCGATGTTATTCTTTGACTCTTGGAACATAACATTTTAATAAACAAATATTTCGAACACGCTTGCGTTCCTCTTCAATGGCAACGTTTACACTAGACACGATTACGTGTCGTTCTCGTGTCTCGAGTAAATCCAACTTTAGACAACTGGTCGTCTAAGACTTATATCTATAGATAGATATTTATTTACTTAACAAACTTCTTATTCACAAAATATAGGATGGAAAAGAGCGAAGTTTATTTAAATAAAAATTCCACATTTTGCTGAATCATCCTAACCTGTCTGGACAATTCAGTTAAGTGTGAGCGCTTCTGTATGTAATATTCAGAATAAGTAAAATCATTATACTCACCAGAAGCAATACAAGAGAGGATTAGTACCGTCACCACGGCAAACTTCATCATTGCTTTTCATGAACTGTTAATCACTAAAATTTAAACAGCATTAATTTATCTGACACTTTTGGATAATGAAGTTCCCTCGTTTTATGAATTAAAATTATAATCGAAATAAAAAATGATATTTGTATTTATGTTTAAAGCGTATCATACTTTATTGCCATTTACCTTGCAGATTCCTTTTATTTTTGCATCAACAGATACTTATATCTGTAGTACTAGACAAAGAATTTTTTTTTAAAGTTAAATATGGTAAGAACCACAAAAAATTGCAATGTATCTCAACAGTTGGAGTCAAACTTAAAAATTCGCTGGACGACAAACTTACAAAATGTAATTGCCTTTTTCAATTTAAAAGAAAATATAGAGAGAAACGTTTAACTAAAATTAAGAAGTGATGTATCGTTGCACTATATTCTGTTTTACTGCTGAAACTAAAAGATTATTGTATTGCATTGTAAATTCATTTTATGGTCAGTTTTACGCAACACCAATCATACCCACCTTCTGACAATTTCCTTCTTAACAGAGTTATGGCTTCCTAGACAAGCCTATTAGTATGCAAGTAAGCTATTTTGAACTTTACATAGAGTTCCACAGTCGTGTCGTCACGACGCCAGGTGGCGCTCTCTGTTGTCAACAGACGTTGTTTACCGTTCATTACGCCTGAATGACTTCATAGGCTTTCTGGAATAGGCATTTTAAAATCTAACATTTTACAATCAAAATGTACTAAAAACACAAAAGCTCGCATTATATTAGTTATCAAACACACATTTAATTATCAATTAATATTCACAAAGAAAAAGTAAGATGCAACACCTTAATAATTACGTTAGAAACTGGGATCAATGGTTTGTAACACTGTAGTACTCTATACTATTATGCAACATCAGATTAGTAATTCAGTCTATAAATAATATCGGTGACTGTTCGACTACACAAGATGTTAATTCTATTCTAAAATGCAGCATATACAAATTGAAACACAATGCCTCTATGAGAATAAATGCTCTACTATCAGACTGGATAACAGAGACACTCGATCTAATTGAGAAGAGAAGTTTGAAAGAGGGAGGTGCTAGTGTCGGTAGTTCAGAGTACCGAGGTGTAACAAAGGAAATACAGCGTGCTTCCCGAAAAGATAAAAAGCAGCACTTACTTAAAAAAATGTACCAGCATAGAGACACACTGCAGAGTGGGCAATAACAAAGCAATGTATGGCGAAATAGGGAGTTTGACTAAGAAATTAAAAACCCAGCCTTAATGTCATCAAAAGTAAAAAAAGGGAGAGTCTTGACAGAATCACCAGAAACAAATGAATTCCTCAACAAAAAAAATCGAAAACCTCAAGGGAAAATCATCAAGATCTAAAAAACACATCAAGGCAACAAACCAAAAAAATCATCAACAGCACATACAAACAAGTAAAACCACATCACAAGGGATCATCACAAATGAAGACAGTGACAAACAGCACATACAAGTAAACCACATCACAAGCATCATCACAAATAAAGACAGTGACAAACATGACAAAAAAAAAACAAAGGCCAAAAACATAGAAAAATGAAAAATCACAGCGCCCAAGCCAAGACCTGTCTCTTATACACATCTAGATGTGTATAAGAGACAGTAGTGGCGCTTTCACAATTCGTCGGGGAGAAAACAAATTATATTATTTTCAACATATTAGTAGACTATACAATCGATTAAATAAGCTTTTGAAACCCCTTAAATTGTCAAACTTTTGGGGGGCCTCGCCCCCAGGACTACTTGCTAAACCTTTTCATGGAAGCTAGACCACGCCCACTTTGCTTTCGTCGGGGAAATTTGTAGAATGAAACATTTATTATTCTAAGGAATTTGTATTGGTTAGCAATAAACAAGCTTTAAAATACTAACACTGTGTACAAAGGTGGGGGTGGGGGTCGAGCCGAGGCTTTCATATTATGGATACGTCCCTGCAGCTGTTAAATGCTCGGCCCCTCGAAAAATCAAAGTTATAATTGAGTATGAAAAAATAATAGCAAATGAACCGCAAATATTTATTTATTTACTTAAAATTACATAGCTCTTATATGCCTAATACAACCTCGACTATAGCTACATATTCCGCTGCATATTCACTTTCATGAGTCCTCAAAACCTAGACTAGAAAATAACCGGAATGTTGTCCGAGAAAGTCTTTGCTTCTAGAAGTTATTGTGTGTAATTAACTGTTCTCTATGGTATTCTTGGGATGTTTCAATCTATTTCGTGAATATCTACTGTAGATAAAGGGTAAAACCTTATTCCAATCCTCAAGATGTGGCCGGGATAACCCCGTATTCTCAGCTAGGGTTGCATACGTTGCTGTTTGCACACAATGAGTCTACCAAGATTTAAAAAAATGTTTTTCATAGTTAAAAAAATTGTTTTGTATTAAAATATTGTCAACGTAACACTTTGGGAACCGTTAGTTTGTGCCATTTCCAAGAATGTAGAGTTACTACATCCTTATTTTATGCTCAATCTAACCTTGGTGCATTCCAAGGGGAGTATTTGGAATCCTGGTACTTCCACTTACTTTTTTCACAATTTCGCCAAAAAAAAAAAAAAAAAAAAAAAAAAAAAAAAAAAAAAAAAAAAAAAATGATCTACTTAATATTAGAGACATACTTAATGTGCTATACAAGGCCATATAGAGTTGCCACTGCACCCCTAGCGCTGATTTTTTTTTTTTTAATCTCAGCTTAGCCCCAACCAACATCTGGGCATATAGTGTTGTTACATCACTGATTTTTGGTGGGGCTGAGGTAGGTGGTTTTCCGGGTTCTTGCCGATCTCTCCTCGTTACAAAAATATCCGATGTACTTAAACATCAGCAATACTGTTAAATTGAAACACTTTGAAAAACATGATTTTTTTTTCTAAGACTAAGAGAACTATTTTCATGTTCAGGGGGTGGCCCTTCTGGTACTTGGATCCCCTAAAAAAATGTCAATTCCCCCTTGTCAACGAGTTTAGCTACGGGGCTGGTCTTGATCAAAATTAATCCTATGTAAAATGGTTAAAATTAAGATTAAAATTCCTATAGTTGCCGCCCGTTTTTTTTTTTTTTGTTGTAAAAACTGAAGCGTAGTCAAAGATACTTTTAGTTTAAGAGATTGTTAAATTGAATTGAAGAAGTTAAGAGCCTACAATATTATTAAACATAAAATTGAACTCACAATGACAACTTGCAGAAATACGTCTCCTTTGAAGTTGTTGCTAGGTGCGACTAGAATCAGCAAAGCATTGCGCACATTACGTTATAAGGAAAAAAGAATACACACCCATAATTCCTATTGGACAAGTAATATGACGTCGTTAAACGATAAATTCCGCACGTTCTACCATTGGTTGTTTGAGAACAATTTATGCACGGAGAGTTAGTTCTGTACTTTAGTCTGTCACTAGGAAAATCTGTTAAAAATAACCTACCCAAAAAAATGCTTTCTGGAATGTTGGGCAGTCGTACCATAAGTATGTTATGACGGTTAATACTGCAAAATTATTTTAATGGCCTACGGGAAATAGACCGAGCAATTGTGACACGTCAAACTTTTTTTACGAATACATCATGCAAAGGACCATAACCATCCACAGGGCAACAGGGGTCGTATATTCCAGTACACCGGGGTAACCCCCCTACTTGTCTCGAAAGATGTACTGGGTACTTTAAAGTGCACATAAAGCAATGTGACAGTACACTATGGTTTATAGTCCATAACTGAGAAGACGTGTTCCACCACCGGGGTCCGGGCCGGGGTTTCCCTTGAATCCGCCACTGCATGGGAGAATCCTCTAACGCTCAGGTGACAGGGTTTTAAAACAAATATCGTATATACTCGCGTATAAGACGAGGCTTAAAATAGCAAATTACGGTCGAAAAAAAACAATGGGTCGTCCTATACGCACAACATTAAAGTTTTAGATTGTTATAATCATGTTCGTCTTATGTGCGGATCGTCTGTAACACGCGAAATTACTACTGTAATGAAGCAACTAAATGTTGTATGGATGAATGAACGCAATTTTAAATACGGGGAAATACGATTTTGGTGGTGAAGATTTAAAAACTCATAAAATGATTATTTGTAAGATTACCATTGCATTTGGCTCCATAGCCAGCTAGATGCAGTATCAGGACCACAAATTAGGAATTCCGACCATGAAAAAGGGGCTCGTCTTATACACCCGACATACAAAATATTAACCAAAAACCTTCTAAAACTCGGGGGTCGTCTTATACGCGGGTCACGCGAGTATATACGGTATTGCTTATTAAGGAATTTTTATAAAAAGATTAATGAACAGGTTCTTGAGAAACAGGACTCAATGGTTGTTATACAAGATTACTCCGACACGCCTTGAATATCAACTATAAACAACATGTATGGAGATATTCCCCCTGTATATCAAGAACTTTGAGGGCACAAAGGTTAGCAGTTGCTGGACATTACTACAGAAGTAAAAATTGAGTTATTTCAAGGGGTTCTCTTTTGAGAACCAACCAATGGGAAAAGGAAGCAAGGACAGCCCTGACTACATACATCGAATAATTAGAAAAGGATCTAAACACACAGTGGCAGTACATTCAGTGACGTAACACTAAGGTAGGGGCGCATTATTTTTTTTCCATACAGTTGCGGCAGAAATTATAGAGGGTGCTATTTTATGTCAGTTAGGAGAACTGATATGCATGAATATGCATACAGACTCCCTCGCCTCGCGAAACAGAGTCAATGGCGTATGAGTTTTATGCGTGGATGAACGCTATGGAGTCAATAGGCCAAAATATCTTAAATAAGCCTTGGTAGTCAAAACAGTGTACAAATTGTAGTACTGTACTAGATTAGACACATTCTGTGTAGGCCTACAGCATGGTCTTCAAAAGTATAACAAAAATGGAGTAGGCTAATATTGAATCTGGCACTGTATTATTTGAGTAGGCATAGGACAGTTAGGCTTATACAGTATGTGTGTTGTAGCAATTGTATATGCTCCCTAATACTTAGTGGTACTGATCCTGAAGGACGTTTAGAAATGCTCGGAAACAAATTACTGTACTAGTACTTCGGACACAGTTAATTTACAATAAAAAATCCCTGCCTGTTATCAAACATTGAGCGTTTCTGTATGCTTTTGCATGATTCATTGGTTGGTAACATTTAAAGATTTTTGTAAAACCGTCTGTAAATCAATGAAAGCTATTTTTACTTCCGTCTGATTTTGATCGTTTTAAATATAAAAGCTATTCAATATTTAATTTGGTAGACACAGCCTAAACAGTACGCCATATCATGTGAATATCGTAAAATTAGTGTTTATAATATACCTGCTTGCTATGTAATCTATGCGTTTATTCATATTAAATATGAACGAAACATTTATATAAAGGAGTCAAACATTAAAACAATACATCGAGAAGTAACTGTGCGCATTTCTAAACGTTTATCCTTTAAAATAAGTAGGCCTAGTATAGCAGTTAATTATTGCTATACCTTACACCCCAGTTCCGCAACCTTTTTAGCCCACGACCTAAAT